CCCATTTGTCAACACATCCAAAACAAAATCATCCTAGTCTTGTACCTATCACACCTACTCATTCAACATTCGCTGCGAAAAGGGCACATGTCTGCCCTTAATGGATCTTAGTTGACTAATATAATAATATAATTGATTTTGTATTGAAAGAAGTTTGTAAGACTTAGTCTTGCTTCACATACTTCGTAATGGTGCTACAGCATAGACATATTTCGAATACTATTACGTTTTCTCATTCTTTAGGCAACTTACAGGTTTTGCACCATCCACTTCCAGCTGTCTCACAGCCCCCCAAGGTCATGTTTATCACATTTATCAAGTTTACAGGCTCACTAACGATGGAGGAAGAATATTAAGAATATCGAAGAAAAGCCAGTTTATCGAGGTATGAAACCGAGGTCCGGACTGATCGTATTAGCTGTGTCGCAACATATTTATTAGACCCTACAAAATAATTAGGCGCTGTGCTCAAGTAACGAACGTTTGTCATTTGTCCAGATATATGCAATTTCATCATATCATAACAAACGTATTTGATGTAATCTTGTTTCATTAATTAATAGTCGCATGAGACAACTAAGATTGCAAATAGCCACCAATACTAGTGACATTGAGTTTATACAATATATATAATATATACATATTGTAAATACTAAACAAACAATTGATTCCATAACAGATTAATACAATTGTAGAATCAGATACGAGTTCAAACAAACAGTTTTTGAGTTACAATCAACATACACAACTATATACACAAGTTTGAATTATGTCTGGAAATATTAAATTGAAAATTGATCAAATTGGTTCTGATTTCGGTCGATACATGATTCTAAAGCTTATCAGTTTGTATATCTCTTTGATGACTGGCAATTTAGGGCAGGTTTTCTATGATGTTGTATAATCGGTTAAATTAGTGTTGGCAGCTATCACAAATGTAGGGGATGTGTTGATTATAGAAAGAGAATTATTACGTTGTGTCGCCGCAGAACTGTCAGGACAGTGCGACTTGTCTTTTTGAAGTGAGCTCTTAGATTTTGATGTGGTAGAAGTTATAATTCATGTATTCTGTTTGATTTTCCAAAAACTTCAGAAATGTAAATTTTATAATATTTCACATGTTGAAATTTACAGTACGCATTTATATATGCATTGTGAGTAATAGTGATTTAAATGAACTAAAAATTGGGCATTCAAGAAAGCTCATGGCGTTTTTCTCAAAGCAGCTCCAAACTTTCAATTAAATTTTAGCATTTAAAACAGGTTTCACCACTGTGAATTCTTTGAGTCATTCGTCAAACTGATAAATGTGAAAATTAAACGCAGTTCGACAAACATCCAACATAATTAAACTAAAAACTGCAATTTCAAAGCATTAAATATTGGTTACTTTCAACTTCTCCTCAGGTTTTAGTGAATATAAAAGAAAATAAATGTTTGGAATTGGAATGAGACACTAATTCCTGCTATTTGGCTTGGAGGTAAGTAGAGCAGAATAGACGTTCACCTTCATAGCGACAGTCACCTCTCTGGTGGCGACTCTGGGTAGAATGCTGTGGAACAGACCGTCTAGCGAGGTCGAGGATTGGTGGTTCGAACAAGTATTATATTCTGTATACACAGGTGCGCATCCACGGGGACGGAAATGAGGAGAATCACCCGCCCCTAACATTTTTCAGTAATTATTAATTTTAACTTGTAACGAAACTTTCAATCAAAAATATTTTCGGATTATCATTCAAGCGAATAAAATCGTATCGCAGTCGACCCGAGTGTTGTCTGCGATATTTCACAAAACCTGTAATATGACTCACTCGACTAAAATATTTAAAATTTCACCTCCCAAAATTTGTCTCTGTATCCACCCCTGGTATAGAGCGATTTTTATAAGAATGAACCGTTTTGAGAGCTAGTGTTGGCAACATTTTTT